TCTTTGACGCCTTCGTGATGTTAGTCTGGCTGTAAAAGGTCGGATCTACAACGCGTCGGTGAGAGCAGTTTTGCTCTATGCTTGTGAAACCTGGCCTCTCCGAGTTGAGGATGTTAGACGTCTCTCTGTGTTCGATCATCGTTGTCTCCGAAGGATTGCTGACATCCAGTGGCAACACCATGTTAGTAATGCAGAGGTTCGGCATCGTGTGTTCGGGCGCAGGGACGATAATTCAATTGGTGTCACCATCTTGAAACACCGACTTCGGTGGCTTGGACATGTTTTACGAATGTCGTCTCGGAGACTTCCACGTCGTGCATTATTTGCCGACTCTGGGACTGGTTGGAAAAAGCGGAGAGAAGGTCAGTGTATAACATGGTGTCGTGGTATGAAAGAAAGCTGCAAAGGGCTAACTTCTGTTGGTCCTTCACGACTCCCTGCCTGGTGTCCGAGAGATGGTGCAACACAGTAGCTAGAGACGTTATCGGATATGGCTCAGAATAGAAGCCAGTGGCGAACCTGCTGTAACCTTCTTTTACTTTCTACATAAAGAATGGTTCTAACTTTCTTAACTGAAAGAGTCTTCTGGTTGTACATTCAGTTCCCCCCATCATTACTCTTCGCTTTTTTCTCATACTATTTTTTTATGTATACGCATCTTCCCCCTTTCACTTCCCATTCTCATTGTTTTGTATGGCGCATATGTATCTGGTGTGCATTTGTACCAATATGTATGTGTTTAAATAAATAAAGGACCTTCGGTTCTGCACATGAACGCCTAACCACTGGACCACGGAGCCAACATCCTTTGGTGTTAATGCCTAACTTCAATCGGTTCATAATAATAAGTCATTTTGAACTGCTTCATTATGAATTCCTATTTCATACATTCTCCAATCTTTTCATTCCTGAGACAGAAATAGCTTATAAATATTTGATAAATCAAAACTATTTATGTGCATAGCACTGTTATTGCTTTCTTATATATATATCCCAGACAAAAGAAATTGGGTAATCAGTTTTAAAATGCTTTATCCCATTTTGGTTGTTTTTCTGTGCATTGTGTCGTGCTACTCAATAATAATAAGTAGTTTGATGTCTTTCAGTCATTTTATAAATTTTTTGAGACAACTATGTTCTATCTGTTCACATAAAATACAATTAAAAACTTACTTCATTCTAAAATGGTTCCTACTTTAAAGATGTTGGGCCTGTTTTGTTTTCTTTAGTCACTAAAAATTTGACTCCATACCATTCTAGATATTTTTCTAGTGCTTAGTAATTGCTGAAATGTACTTGACCAACTGTGTTCATAGTGTGAAATTTCTTAATGAGACTACGATATTTAATTACGATTTTTAATCAAGTTACTTTCACTTAAACGTCACCAAAGGTAGAAAAACTGAGAATTGAGCTTAAACAAACATTGATACACAAGAGACATCCAATGAATACTAATAGTGACTTTATTCGATATTATTCGTTTGATACATCGATAGGAAGGGTGTAGTGAGCTGGTACCTACTGCGTTTCTAACGCCTAAAAAGCTTCCCTACATTTCCATACTAGTTATGAACGTATCCGACGGCCTTTTTTGAAGATAACCCGTCATCGCTAGAGTGTACTATACAGCCAATGTTACAGGTATTGATAAATGTTCATGCCATACTAAAGACGAAAACAACATGTAAACGATTGTCTCACAATCCATCATATCTACTAACTTACATGACGGTGTAAAAATATTGACATTGGGGGAAGCAGTCCTGCCTTATAAATAATAGTGGTTGTGTGTAAACCAAAATATCTGTGGAAACAAATTAAGTTTAGTGACCAAATAAAACCAGATGTTAATGCCCACCTTCCACCACACTCAAGCGCATAACTGAAACAAGTCAAAAACTGATCGAGACTTAGTCTTTTTGGTTCTTACAGAGAAACTGTCTTGGACGAATTCTTACGTTTTTTGAAGCCTCAGCCATACGGAGATCCAACCTTAGTGTTATCGATTTGATTTTAATACCCAAATTGGCGTTGTATATGTTAATTTATTTGGTTTTCTCTTCGTTCGACATATATCTTGTCAAGTTAAAGGATGATCAGTTCCTTTGAAATATACTGTTTTAATACAGCACATGGTTCTGATGAACTTCGTATGATTATTGCACTACTTAGATTAAACATACGTTTCCTTTTATCATGAAACATATTACAGAATTCACTAAATTGCTATACGGTTTGCGTAAGGTAACAAATTTCCTTAGTCCCTAGTCGACTTTGCAGAAAATATGCTATACTGTTCGAAAAGTGTTTGTTACTACATATTGGTAAACTATATTCAGAACTTACTACATTCATTTTGTATTACATGCCTTCATCATTATCTACTGATCAACATGAAGTTATTACGGTAATTTGGAGTTAAGTTGATTGGTTTGGAAGTGGATTACTGTTACATCCGATAAAGATTAAGTGAATGGTAACTCCTAGAAATTGTTTATGGACTATTACATATATATATATACTTATTATAATGAACATTCGTTTGACTCATTAACTGTTATTATATGATTTACTACTTGTAATATATTTTCCACTTATTATTTACAGTCCCTCATACTCACAGTCACTTTTGGTTTGATCATGTGTAATTTTTATTTTTCATTTCATGATGTGATACGGTCTCGCCTCCTTGTTTTGTCACATGATATTAGACAAGACCATATGATATAACAATTATTTAGTTCGTTACTCAGCCATCGTGACTTTACACTTTTGAGGTTTCATATATTTCCACATGAAGTAAATCTCAAAAAAGAACGAATATAGAATGATTCATAATTTTAGATCCTTTATATAATTGATATCGATTGGTTAGTATACCTTATATATCTACAGAGATGCTCCAGTTTATTGACTCTGAGTTATTGCTATAACTTCGCTTATGACTTTAAGTGGCTTTCATAGTTTTTTCCCACATTTTTCTAAACCTTAACTAAAAGAAGTCTCTATTTTCTGCTGACATTCAATCAAAAATAAGTAAAGATAATAATGACTACAAAATCATAAATATTGTTGCAGTGGTGATTGGCGGGGAAGCCAACTCGAGAGTGAAGCAAAAGATAATACGTATTGGAGATGGCGGGGAAGCCAACTCGATTTAAGCAAGCGTTAATCAACATTTATAGTCGGACAAAAATGAGTGACAGACATACGATGAATAAGATACGAAGTGTACACATATAAGCTCATATAAAAGTATAGTCAAGGTTAATAAGCAAATGATTAACAATATCAAAATATGACTCATAATGGATAGGCGAATTGGCTTGGCCAGCAACTAGAATAAAGTATATGGGCTTAACATATAAACTGATACTACAATATTTCGGGTCTCATTTTGATAGGACTATCTGCTTATCGTAAAAAACTCTTCGAAGTATATATTCGAATGAAAATCTCTATCACTAACCATATTCCCAAAGTTTTTTTGTCTCGGGTTAAAAATATAGGCTATAGTATGAAGTTATAACAACAATCCTAAATCATTTGTTCAGAAAGCTGCTTGGAATACTTTTGAAATCATTATCTGAAAGTAGAATACTTTAACGCAGTTTTTCAGATCCGTTAAAAATATCACTAGTGTAATAGGGTTACTATACTCAAACAAAGCTTGTCCGACTACATTATTTCAGATATATCGTAGAAGACCAATTTATCTTAATGTCATTTATCGCTGTTTGAGCTCTAGAATGAAGGTTATTGAAATGAGTATTTATATACCAAAAACATTTGAATCATTTAGTATAGCCATATCGAAAATACACTGTAATGAATAATATAAAACAAAAATAAGTAAGTTGGAAAATCGAATTCATGAGTCAATTTGAGCTAGAACACCATGAGAAACCTGGGAGCACTGGATTGCCGCCTCGCTCCAGGATGGAACTCCTCAGCAGTGCGCACTCACGACCCCGCTCGCAGAATCCCGACCCAGGAACTAACAGTTTCGCGCGCGGACGCTTAACCTCTAGACCACTGAGCCAGTATCAAACAGTGTCGAATAATCGCTTTTTTAGCTAGAGTATGTTTAGTTACAACAAAGAGTTTAAAACAAAAAGTATATAATATTGTGAGAAATTCTAATCTTATATCCAGTTGACTTGTAGATATTAGTCGTTCGCTAATATTAATACTCATCTTCAAAATTTCATCATCAGTTTAGTCTCTACGTCATTTTATCCATGGATGATATAATTTGTGCATGAAATTCACTGTAATCCCTTCTTTTCTCCCGAAGGACAGTGGAGTACAAAAATATATAAAATACCGTGGTGAGCCCCTTTTTGGTTTTACTGTAGTTATCTTGGTCACAAACTATGTGGATAGCTGGAAAATAGGTAATTCAGAAGTTAATTTCTAGCTAGCTCAAGTATTACTGTAGATTTTGAATCGCCGTACCATATGAAGTCATTTTGATGTTTTTTAAAAGTTACCATGAGGATAATCAAAGTCAGTTAGGAGAAAGTATAATTTATGGACAAACCAATGAAATTAAGAATATCCAGTCTTGGATTTGGGAGCGCAATTCATTCATCCATATTGTTAAGTAGCATTATGGGATTATAGTCGATATCAAATCATGGTGAAAACCCTTACTTTAATTCATAACCTTAAATTCTAACTTTAAATACTAATCCTATTTCCTCACATGAGTTTTTAGTCCTCTTTTGACCCTGGTAAGTAGGAAAGTTGTCTCAGGGTCACCTTAGCGTCACTCAAAGGTCGTTCATAAATTACAGCCCCATTGTCAGTTACTCCTTCATTGTATTTACTACATCAACAGTGAACATTAACTTTAAGAGACATATATGCTAACAAAAGAACACTGTATTAGTAAAAGTAAGCTAATTTTGCGACCAAGACAATAACAAAAACAAAAATGTCAGCTTTAACTATTTTTACCATATTGTGGTGCTTTTTGAGAAAATTAATCACCAAACTCCATATTTAGCATCAACTATACAAGTCTAGTTTTATTGATTAGTCATCCAATCACAAATAAGATTTTGTGACCTTGTTAAATTTTGCTATGTTATTTAACTCGACTGATTTTCTATTGGTTACTTGAGGCAGTAAGGTCATACTACTGGCCTCGCCCAGCGATTGATAAATCTTGAGCCTTAAGACAGTTATAGATAATTTTCAGGCTATCTGAAATGTCTACTTAGCAGGTATAGTAGCTTCATGACAGTTGGAGAGCATCTCAATCTGAAATGGTGGAGCCGTCAATAGCTTACATTACAGCTAACAATTTACCTCCAGAAATTTTATTGCGTGTTTTCAATTATCTCGATACTGATGATTTAATTAATTGTATTGATGTATGCTCTACTTGGAGACAAACAGCGCTTGACAATTGTTTATGGCAAAGAAAGTTGGTAATAATTTTAAAAACTCAATGGTCTACTCTTATATGTGATTCTAAACCCAAATATGCTCCAGACCTACAAAAGCTACAAACAGTTCATCCTTACAAAATATATCGCTTCCTTAAGAAATATGTTCCTCAACACTTACTTGGTGACCAGAAAGAAGCATCAAAAGTCCATCTTTTGATCAATAAGATCAATCAGCTTAGTCTTGCTTCGGCCCCACATGAAGGTCAATCAACTAGTCCTTTATCTTTCTGTGAATTATTTTGGAAGTGGTGGAATAATTTTAGACGTAGATTGTCCATCTACCATGCTTCACGTTCGAATGACATAAGCCGTCAGCGTTGTCGATTTGCAGTGTTTGGACCTGGTTTTGACCAGAGAGCTACAAGTTGCTTGTTTAGTAAATTGGTTGATGTAAAAACCAAATCATTTGAACCATTAAATATGATACCAGGTCGAATGGGCTTTGGTGCTGGACTTACACTTCGGCTACATAATCAAGCGCAAATGGCAGCATTAGATTCTTCTGTATATTTTCCTGAGAAAACATTTAAACATTCAAAAAATGATTATAAAAAATCTATTCTGAAGGAGACATATACACCCAATTCACAAGCTATCAATTATTTAAACGATTTCATATTTGATTTACATTATCTTTATTCTTTAAGTGGACATTTAAGTCATAAGTTTAATAGTCAGCCGGAGCGAATTCATGCTAGTCGTCTATTTACTTATTCAAATGATGTAAATATCTCAGACATTCACTCAACATCATTGAATGGATTAATTGTAAGTAATGAAATGAAATGTTTATTACACGGTATTTGTGGAATAATTTACGCTCTTGATGCTAGAGAAACAACTGAACAAGCTATTTACTTATATATTGAACTAAAAACTGTATTAAAAGGTTTTCCTAATGAAATAGCACATAAAGTACCGATTGTCATCCTGTATATTATGCCAATTGAAGATATTTTACAAAATAATAATACAGAAAATTATATTCATTCAAATTCTTTGGAAGATTCTACTAGAACAAATGAAATCTATTTAAATCGTGATAGTTACAGTGGTGCAAATTACACATTCTCATGGTGTGGTTCATTGTTACAACCTTTAACATGTTTACATCTATTTGAATTACAAAATCCATGGCGTTTACAAAAATGTGCCAGTAATGATATTAAAGCGGTTATTCAAAGTTTAATGTGGTTAAAATCTAAACATCCAACTATTCTTGATGCAATAAATTCAACTAATATGAAACGTGCAACTTCCACAACATATTGATTTCATAATTAACAACTATAATTGATTACTATGATAGAGATGCTATGCAAGTTTCTATTTTTCATTCTTCCTTAAAATTCTTGTTTTTCTTCAACGATAAGAGAAAAAAAAACAAGTCAGTAGAAAAAATGTTATTGTTTGTTTTCACCAATAGTCTTTCATTTATTTTCATTCATGACTATTTTGTTTGATAAAGAGTTAAAGAGAGATAGAAAAAACAAAGAGTAGATGTAACTAAATACTTTCTATTGTTCATATGATTGTTTGTTGAGATATTGTTTTTCTTTAAAAAAAAAAGAAAGATAATGTTGCAAAATGAATGTTTGCTTATTTGTTTAACTATTTTTTTTCTATAAACAATCTGTAGAAATACAATTCACTATTATGTACATAGGGATAATTTGTAAAAATCAGATTTTTCTCTCTTAGTTAAATAGATAGATAAACAATTAGTTGAAATGGTATACTGAGATCAGTCTTATACAGATAATATTATACAAAGTATAATTTGAAGTTTATGTTATACTAGTGTAATTTTTTCTTTGTTTTTAAAGAATATAGTTTAATGTATGATGATGAATAGTCAAAATGTTACTTTGAAAAGATGTTACATCCTTGCAAAATAAGTAAATTGTCTTTGTTTAGATGAAGAATGATAGTCATCATGAACTGATGACATTTATCGGATCATCCATTACCTATGGACTTAACAAAGTCAGAGGTGAGACATTCGTAATTGATGATACTGAGTGATGATTACGCTATTATAGGAAAGGATTGAAAATAAACAAAATACGATATATTGTGTTTGATTCAGTCGTTTAAACATATTATATTAATCATGAATTAGGTATCATATGGAGGTAGTAAATGGTCATCGATAGTGTCACTAACAATGATGAAGTAGTTCCCAAATCATCGCTGCTTCTGATGGTTCTCTAACCGTTATCAATATCTGTTTCGGCAAGAAAAAATACTCCCGAAATGACCTATATTAAAGTCATTAATGATTTATACAGTTACTTACTTACGCCTGTTACTCCCCTCCCCGTGGGGGAGCATAGACCAACCACCAGCATTCTCCATCAAACTGTCCTGGACAATCCTTTCCAGTTGTTATTCATCCTTTTCATATCTGCTTCCAATTCTCGACTCAGTGTGTCCCTTGATCTTCCTCCTTTCCCTTTCCACTCAGAATTCCAAGTAAGGGCTTGCTTCGTGGTGCAATTTAGTGATTTCCTCAATGTATGTCCTATCTACTTCCAACATCTTCACCTAGTTTCCTCTTCAACTGGAACTTGGTTTGTTCTCTCCCACAATAGGCTATTGCTGATCATCTTAGTGTTCCCTTTATTCAAGATTTCAACATTTTCCCAGTCGGAGATGTGCTTATAATTGTTTACATGGATTGACATAGGCGAAGATATGTCGTGGCGTTTGACATTCATGTAGGCTAAGATGTAAACGGCTTTCACTTTGCCCGATGTAGTGATTTGTGCGGCTGAAGCAGTTTAGAATGTAAATGATATTTAACTCTTATTCTTTTATCATTTTATTCTCTGACTTGTATAAGGCTATTTGAAGTGGTTTTGCTGCTTTAAGTGATACATCGATTCCAGATGGTCTCAATAATTTTGTTATGGTTTCCAAAATATCCTTTCTATATCGTAGAACTATACATTTGTTGACTTCCACATTTGCTTTTACTTCCATGAATCCAATACATATTTTCTAATAGTCTCATAGATAGCTGTTTTGTAAGAAGTTACATATTCTCCTTCATTACTTCCCATTGTTTGTTAAAATACGTCTTTGTTGTTTTATATGAGGTATGTAGGCAGCTGATTTTCTGGGTTATTTTTATTCTAGTTGAAAATTTGATCTATATTGGTTCTGTGATCGACACATTCACGAAATATAGTTTGTTGTTTGACCCCATTTCGATTGTGAAGTTGATGTCGTTGAAGACGTTGTTGATCAAATTGTAGGTGATTTCCAGTTCATCATTTTTAGTAATGAGGAATGTGTTGTACACATAAGAAACCTATATTTTTAGCTGGATTACTGTTAAGATTTAAGCTTCCAGTCTGTGTATCACTACTTCTGAAATCAACCATGTTACTGGTGATCCCATCGGTGCTCCTTTCGTTGGTTCAAAGGTTTTGTTATTAAACTGGAAATATGTTGTTAGGCATAAACTGATTAGTTCTAATAAATCTTGACTTTGAAGCTCCGGATGTTTTCGAAGATTTGTGTCATTGGTGGAAAGCAGAAACAAAACGTCCTTTGCTAACTTGAACTCAAGTGAGGTGACAACGGATGTGACGTCGCAGGGTACCGTCAATCCGTCATTCTCGATTTGAATGCTTTTAATCTTAACCACGGTTAAAGAGGGTGATCGTATGAGTTCCCCAAATATCCCAGTGTTCTGGAAATTTCCCTTGGTAAATTGTATTTTGAGGTTGATGGAGAGCTTGATTTATGTAGTTTTGGCCTACTGTAGACTTCAGGGAGATTTGGTCCAATAGATTTCATTTGCTATTAGTCTTCTTTTGTAATTAACATGCTGTGAAGAGCTTTTCTAAAGTCCTAGAGATCTGGCTGTGACTGAATTTACGTCGGTTGGCTTGTATACGTTTCCATCTTCAATTATATCCTCAGATTTCTTGATGTATTCTGATTCATATTTGCTGTATTGCATTCTTTTTGTTCGTCCAAACCATGATAATAACCTCCCTATTCAAGTTTTTGCAAGCTATTGTGAGTTCGAATTCACTTAGTATTGTTTGTTTGTGAGTTCGGTTGAGTGTTGTCTTTCTTGTGCTAAGTTCAGGATATTACTGATTGTCTTATTTCCGGTTAAGTTATTTCGTCTACTCCCTTTGGTTCATGTATAGCTCTTCTGGTGTCTTTATATATCCAATGATTCGTTCCTATAAATTCAGGAAAAACTGAACTCTTTTGAATGTTGTGTTAATGAATAATGGCAGATGTACCATTTAGTCAAATGATATATTAGAAACTGGATTATATATATATATATATGATTGTTTACTTTCAGTTTTGTCTCTGAAGTCCTCAGTGGATAAGGCGTTCATAATATGAGGGCCTGGTTTTAATCATAGCCTTTTATACTGATTCAGTCTATAAACTGTAACAAAAGTTAATATAAACATTGACTTCAATATACCTACCGAAAATTTTTGTAAGTGCATATTATAACTGTGTCCTAAAAATAACAATATTTACCAAGCTTAGTGTCTCAATGCTATCGTCAGATCAATAATGGACTCAGTTTGACAAAACTTCTAATAGATGCTGTTTCAAAAGTTACATTGCTTACAGCCCAAATTAGGGGTATACATCTTTACATCTTGATTATTCTGATAGGTTAGCTTATCCTTAACTACTTTAAAGCAATGGATAAATATATTAACTTGGTCCAACGTTATCGATAATTGAGTGATTGAAAATCAACTAAATGACCTATTTGTGAATTTTATTTTTAAATAGACTTTTTCGGTTGAAATCGTTTTTATAGATAACAGTATACTGTGACAGCAATTATCAGCAACAAAGTCCATATCAGATCAACGTTGGTTTTTGAACACTAGATTGGATTGTTCTTAACACATGAATAAAGTGAAACCGTCCATTTTGTACATTCAAAACTACAATTGAGTTTGTTTCTGAAACATTATTTGTTGAGAAATACGTATTCTCTGGGAACATGTGCAATGACTATATCAGCATGAGTAGATTGATTGGTTTATGGGATCGAAAATGCATTTTCACTTAATAATGGCTGGTCGATACACAAGCTTATATTCGAGATAAAATAAAACAGAACAATGAACTATTTAGTCATCAACGAGAAAGTTCAAACTTTAATAAAACCATAAGGTGGATGAAAAAATAATTCTTGAAAACACTTCAAAGAGAAGTTCAACTGGATTTTAACAATTTTACAACTATTCAGAATCTACTCCAGAGAAAAAGGAAGTCTCGGGTTTGATCTAGTAAATTTGGGAGGAATAGGAATTGTTGTGAAACTAAGTTCAAAATGCCTCTGAATAATCAACACAAATTCGATGGTTAGACAATATACCCCAAATATCTTCAGGTTTTGGCACATACTAGTTCAGAGAATATTTCATTTGACTTGTTGTTTCTATATTAGTAATTAAATAATCCCTAGGCTTGAGGTGAATTCCTCAAAAAACGAAGGTAAGTAGTACGTTCATAAAAAAGTTAAAGATGAGTGATCACACGAAAAATTCCCTGCGGAAAAGTTTCATAATCAAGATAGATGCGATATCACCACTATCCATGTTTTTTAAGAACTAACGACGAAAGATGATTTAAGCATTTATTGGTGGAATAGTATGTACCAGTTTCATCTGTCCGACCATAAATAAGAAAAGGAAACAGTATAATAATAAATATTTGCGTTGCTTATCTTAATCGAAAGTAAAAGTTAATGTTCAGTGCTCCATATATGTCAATTGACATTGGATAGTGAAAAGAACTTATTCGCTTTCCTTGATGTATTATCAAAATCAAAGTAATGCAAATATCAGATGAAATATTACAATTATAATATCCATACAAATGATTACATGATGTGGATATACTTATTATCCAACAAACTTCAGTAATCATGTAATCAGTTTAAATTCTATGGGTCAATAATAAGATAGATGAAATATAATAACAGTATTCCACGAAGGATAACAGATGTAAGTAAATACTTACTTACGCCTGTTGCCCTTCGTGGAGGAGCATGGGCCGCTCATGTAAGTAAATAAGTTCTTGCATAAACGTCCATTAAACATTGAGCTTACTATTAACTAATGTTATAATCCAAGTTACATGTAACTTATCTCTCTTATTTCTACTCATATGTTTAGTCAATTTTTTGTTGTTGTTTTTTTAGTTGTTTTGAAAATAAGATTAGAAGACATAATTATTTTTTTAGGTCAATATAAGAAACAATTAAATGTTCTTTGAATTATTGATTTTATACTTATCATATTGATAATAAGAGATAATTATAATCAATAATAATACTCAACTATTAGTATTATTTGTATAGATTATATTAATTTAGAATCAATTTTTTTAAGTTCAATATATTTTTAAACAAATATAATATTGATTAATAGTAGTATGATTAATTTATCGATTAGAATGTTATTAAATAAATAAATGAATTAATCAATAATCATTAATACATGAATTGAATTTGTTATTCATTTTTTTCATAAATATTAACAACAATGATAATTCTTAATATTCCCTTGAAAATAATTCATTATTATATAATGATAAATATACAATTTTATATCTTATTATAAGTAACACGAAAATATTTATAAATAAAGGCTAAATTCTCTTTATAGACCAATAGTTTTTACGATCGGTTTCACACTTGATTGATCACTAGGTGGTGATCAATATCATGCGTGTCAAGTCAGTCTTAGTGCTGATCAAATGCTATCGGTCAAGTTGCAATGTGGCCACTAGTCTAGGTGGCTCGACACTGCGTGCACTATGTTGAGATAAGATGGTGGTTGGAGGTGGTCAACAGGAAACCCTGGACTCGTGCTACTTGGCACTCGTCAGCAAGGTGTACCTGTAATCTTCAGGCAACTGGTGCTCCCTGTCCGATTCGATCCCATGTCACTCAGCTTCATGGTCAGAGACTTTACCAATGAGCTATTCGGGCCGTGACCGACAGAAGATCTATTTATTGTTATCAATAAGAATGTAAGAAAATCTATGATGTAATGAGTGGAATTGTGTTTTTTATAAAAGTTATAGTGTATAATAGTGAGATATCTATCACTTGATAGCAGTAAATTTAGGCTAGACATCATTTTGAGTCCCTGAGTGAACATCAACTCTGAGATGCAGGTACATCCAGCTGATGAGTCCCAAATAGGACGAAACGCACATCCTGGATTCAACTACTAGCCACTATCCATCTTTGCTTATAATGCTTGTGAATTAAGGCCATAACGAGGCAATACACTCAGTATG